CAACATTCCATGCTCCCATGTCACTTGCTTGAATGAAATATACCATCCTATTCTTCCAATAGGCATAGTTAGCTCCGTTGATGAAATGAGGCTTGTTAACGGGCATCGAATCGAGACCGGAGCCAAAGTTTGAAGTGGCAATTGATGACTTGATTATCGATGTAACTCTTCCTGAATCGACTCAAGAGGCTATTAAACCTTCAAATGAGTGAGGCTATGATACCAATTGTTGAGTTAATCGATTGATGGAATCGGCCAAGAGGGGGTGAATTGGCAATTAACCTTTTGGTGGAAGCTTTTGCAGAAAATTGAAAGTAATTGCACAGCGATTTAGAGTGGTTCGACTTTCTCAACCAAAGTCTACGTCCACTACCTTAGCTATCCACACTAAGGATTTTCCAACAAATTCACTAATTTGTTCTTTCTTTTGAGGCCAAAGAGATAACCTTACAACTCCCTTAAGAATATACCCAATTCTTGAGAACACTCTTTCTCAAAGAGAAGATTAGAAATTTGTAAACTTACAAGGAAATCCTCACATGGTAGATTGTTTGCACAATTCTAGAACAAAGAAAAGAACACTAAAAAATGAATACAATTGAATACAAGTAGTGTTCTTGAAAGCAAAATGAATATTGAATGAAAAATAGGCTTGAAATGCTCAAACTTGAGGTTTGATGTTTTCTCTTTGATTCTCTCTTAATTCTTGATTCTTGTTGTTTCTTGTTGTTGATCAATGGCTTCTAAGCTTGTTTAAATACTCCTTCAATTGATTATGAACATTGGGGATGATTAGTGGAGTCAATAGAGTCGTTTAAGTGTGAAAACAATTAATAAAATCAGTTGGGAGCGTCAGTGCATCGATGCATACACAAGGTGCATCAAGTGTAAAATTCAAATATTTTGACTGTTGGAACACTTAGTGCATCGGTGCACTAAGTGTGCATTGATGCATAAAATGCATTCGATGTTTTGAATAAGCCTAAGTGCATCGATGCATGGTGTGTGCATCGATGCATAAAATGCAATCGATGTTTTCATTAAAACCTGAGTGCATCGATGTATGGAGAGTGCATCGATGCATAAACTGCATTCGATGTTCAATTTATTCATTGGTGCATCGATGCATGGATTGGTGCATCGGTGCATTCCTTTGAAAAATTGATTTTAGGCTTGATTTTGGTTCAAAATACTTTGTGAAAATTGTTTCAAAAATATATTAAGTATAAACACAATTTTACACATTTAGTAAGGTTTGAAATTGATCTTGAAAGACTTGGAGTAATAATTTGATATTCGATTAATTGAATCGAATATACTTATAAAAATCTTTGTAAAATCTTAAAATTCATTTATACTTAGTTTGTTATATGGAAACATCAAAATATTTTCAACAGAGACGATAACTCACTTACTACTATATTGTTTGCATCGATTGTGTATATTTGCATAGAATTGCGTGCCACAACACACATTTTACACGCGATGAATCATCCTTGTACTGTTTCATTTTACCTTGACTTTTTCCTTTTGTAGGATCCCTCCAATGAAAGGATGAAGGAGATTGGTAAACTGGTTGGAGGTCTATGTATGTTGGTTGTTGGTTCTGGTTTGTCTTCTGCCTTTAATTTTTTTTTCTCATTCTAGTTTTGAATTGAGTTGTATGTCTGCTTATAATTCTGTCAAATCTGATGTTTATATGATCGATTTGGCATGCTTCACATAATACCATGAATAAAATTTCTTGTTTCCCTTCAATTAAATGTACTGCTGGTGTTGTTTCATATTGTGACATTTGCTCTTTAGCTAAACAAACTAGGATTCTCTTTCCTATTAGTCAGACTAGATATACTTTTCCTTTCGAGCTTATCCATCTTGATTTGAGGGGTCCTTATCAAGTTTCTACTCACTCAGATCATCGTTTCTTTCTTACTATTATCGATGACTATAGTCAAATGACTTGGATTTTTTTGTTGAAATTAAAATCTGACATTGTGTTACATCTTAGGCGTTTTTTCTCATATGTTCAGAACCACTTTTCCACAACTATTATATTTGTGCGTAGTCATAATGCAACAGAATTCTTTAACTCCAATTGTTTTGATTTATTTACTTCACTAGGGGTCATTCATCAAATTTGTTTTTCTACTCCTCAGTAAAATGGAGTTGCTGGGAGGAAACACAAACATTTATTAGAAGTGGCCAGGGCTTTGCGTTTTAGAGTCTAAAGTTTCACTTAAGTTTTGGGAATGGGAAAATTGTGTTAAAACGGCTTGTTACATTATCAATAGGCTTCATTTTTCTGCTCATAATTGAAAAACGTCATTTACTCTGCTTTATAATAAAGATCCTAGTTTTGCTCACTTTAGTGTTTGGTTGTCTGTGCTATATAACATGTTCTACACCTCTTGATAAGTTTGCCCCGAGAACTGCTCCTTCTGTGTTTATAAGTTATTCATCGACTCAGAAAGGGTATATACTTTTCAATTTGGATACTAAAACCGTTTTTGTGAATAGGGATGTAGTTTTCCACGAACAAATATTTCCTTTTTCTTTTCTGCCTAATGTTACCTCTCATTTGTTTCCTGTCCAGTCCAATGTTCCTGATCATGAGTTTTTAACACTCTTTTTGTTTCACAAGTGACTATAATTTCAACAGACAATCCTGGTTTCTCTAATTTTTCTTCTCCCACTGATTTTTCTTCACTAGGTATTTCTTAATATGAGGCACCCCCTCTAATCAACAGACTGTTTTTCTTCCATAAGAACCTAGTCAATCTTCTATTGCTACGAGGAAGTCTTCTTGGGTTTCTCGGCCTCCTACTTGGTCACATGATTTTGTTTACTCGTGTCAATCCTCTACATCTTCTAGGCAGTATCCAATCTCTGCTCATATTTCTTATATTCACCTGCCTTCTCATACTTGTTCTTTTTATCTAATACATAACATATCGTTGAACCTCAAACTTATGCTCAAGCCATAAAAAACCCTTTGTGGATTAAATCTATTAAAGAGGAGATTCAAGCTTTGGAAAATAACAACACTTGGTCTATAGTTTCTTTGCCTTCCGGTCATTTTCCCATTGGTTGTAAATGGGTATATAAAGTGAAGTATAAGGCCTCTAGTGATCTTGAGAGGTTCAAAGCGTGTTTGGTTGCAAAGGGCTTTACTCAAAAGGAGGGGATTGATTATACTGAAACTTTTTCCCATGTTGCAAAGATGGTTACTGTTCGCACTATCCTTTCTCACGCCGCTGCTTTTGATTGGTCGTTGCATCAAATGGATGTTTATAATTCTTTCCTTCATGGTGACTTAGTTGAGGAAGTTTACATGGAATTACCACCGAGATCTAGTAGCCAAGGGGAGAATCATGTATGTTGGCTGCATAAATCAATATATGGATTAAAACAAAATTCTAGACGGTAGAACTTGAAGTTTTCTAAAGCATTGTTAGCAGCTGGCTACCATCAAAGTAAATTTGACTATTCTCTGTTCACGAAGATGAAGGTTGATAAGTTGGTCATTTTGTTGATTTATGTGGACGGCTTAGTTATTGCTGGAAATGATGAATACATGATTAGTGAATTGAGGACTTTGAATCAGAAATTTAAGATGAAAGATCTAGGAGAGTGGAAATATTTCTTGGATTTGAAGTCTTGAGATCGAAAGAAGGGATTATGCTGAATCAAAAGAAGTATGCCTTGTAACTGATTAAAGAGATGAGTTTAAGGGGAGCTACACCGACTGAAACTCCTTAGAACAGAATTCAAAACTTTCAAAAGTTGAGTTTGACAATGGATTGCAGCAAGGAGTTAATGATCCTAAGCTTGAGGATAAAACTATTTATCAAAGGTTGATCTATTTGACACATACAAGGTCTGACATAGTTTTTGTTGTGCAACATTTAAGTCAAATTTTGTAGCAGCCAAAGGCTTCACATTTAGGGGCAGCAACGAGAGTGGTGAGGTATGTGTAAAAGGCTCTAGGACAAGGTTTATTGTTTAAAGCAATGAAGGATTTACAGCTTATTGCTTTTTACGGTTCTGATTGGGCCACATGTCCGGTAACAAGGCCGTCTGTTACATAAAATTTGGAGACTCCTTGATATCTTGAAAGCAAAAAAACATAACACTATAGTACGGTCGTCGACTGATGCAGAGTATTGAAACATGGTTCATACTGCAGTAGAAATTGTTTGGTTGATTAGTTTGCTTTAAGACATGGGAATAAAAGGTGTGAAACTGGTAGAGTTGCTTAGTGACAGTGAAGCAACTCTACAAATTGCTGCGAATCCAGTGTCCGTTTTATTAGATCGAAAGTTACGTCAGCATTTATTAAGAAATTTAATAGTCTTATGAGCTAAAACATCAAATGATGACCAGAATGTTATTCATCGTTAGTGTTATAATGCTCGAGTCACCAAATGTTAATATTCTAAAAAGTTGAATGATTAAATCTAATTTTTTTACTGATATGAGATAAGTATAAAGTAATATATGTTAAAAAATAATTTTTAATCTCTAGACGTTGATAGCTCACACTCCTAACATTCTCGGTGCTCAAACACAAATCCTTAAAAAATAATAAAAATTATTTACAGCAGAAATCACTTGTTTGTGCAATTAAAAAAATATCAAAATATTAACACCTAAAATTTGAGTAAATATTCAAATAGTTTATCCTTAAATAAAAATAAGAACATTACTTAAAATATATATTATTTAGAAAAATGAATAACTAATTCAATCATAGTATTTTTGCCCTCGTTTCTATAGTGAATTAAAAAAATTCTTTGAAATTTTCTCTGAAATCCTCCTCTAGAATCTCTTCCTTACGCCGGCCCTTGTTTCGACGCTTGGGGAAAATATTTCTATGGTCATCAAATCAACTCTCGTGGAGCTAGGATGCGATAAGTGTGCAAAAGGGATACGTACGATCGACAGCGAGACTTGGTATTTTCAATGGAATGATTTGAAATCACAATTGGCCACCCATTTCTTTCTGCCGATCCTGGATTTCTGGTTTTTTGTGCAATACATGGTGATGATTTTCATTTACATTTCCTTTTGTTATTTTTATATTTTATTGGGTTTTCATGATATTCCTCCCGATTTGGCCAAGGCTTTTCTCTTCGAAGATCCTTTCTAAATTAGGGCTTCTTCCCTGGGTTCACCAATGGATAATACCATTATTTCTAAAGATGAAGGCTTTGCGGCATTCGTGGTTGCACGGACTGCAGACGGGTGCTCCATGTACTGCGCTCCATGATTTTGACGACGGAAGTCCTCCCACATCGGATTTCCGATCAAAATGGGAGATCTATTCCATCAAAACGAAGCTGGAATCATGGTTCTTGTATATTTGGTGATGAATTCCTATTTTTTCACATATGGATGCCGATTACTGCTGATTTACATCCATTTGTCTTTCTGTTTGGGTCCAAAGAATTTAAACTTTTCTTCTAACTCAAACAGGACATGCTTGCAAATTCTTGGGGACCAATTTACGTTGCTGGAGGTACATTTAAATGTCGATTGGAGTTTTAAACTTATTGAGGATCTATGCATGCTGATTATGGGGCATCATATTATCGACTGGAGTGGAACCCAAAAGACGGGAGTTCTATGTGAGGGTTTTATGCGATTGCGATAAACTGGGTCCCCGACGAGGACACGCACACAACCGACTGGTAATCTTTGATGGAGGATTATCGGTGATCGACTATTGTTTTACAGGTAAGAGGACTACTGCCCCCTCGTCTCTCTGTGTCTTCACATATATGGTCTAGCACAGTTTTAAAAATTAGATCGGATCGGCCGGTTCAACCGGGAACCGTTGTCTGGTCCGATTCAATCTACACCGGTTAAATCGCTACTAGTGAACCGGAAAGAACCGCTGAACCGACTATGAACCGTTCGAACCGTGAACCGGTTGAAAACCGATAGAACCGGCTCTAAAAAAATTAAATCAAACAATGTCGTTGGTTAAAAGAGCTGAATCGAACTCGAAAATTTTAAAGTAAGCTCAATTCAACTCAAAAACTCACGAGCTAAAAATTATCAAATTCAATTCGAACTTAAAATATAATATTGAAACTTGAACTCGAAAAGGTTCGAACTCAAAATAAATTTAGAAACTCGATTGAAACCTGAATTCAAGCTCGATTGAAGCGAAATAATAGTTCGCTCTGTGCTCACCAAAAGACTTCATGATTTTAAATATCAAATTATCTCTATTATTTATAGAAGTCAGTTCGGATGTTCTTTTATGTTTTTTAGTCATGTGAGATTGTTTTGTTTTCATATTTTTACACTTTAGACTTTTGTTATGCTCTTCTATGTTTCTTAGCCATGTGAATTTTTTTTAAAATTAAACCAAACGACATCATTTGTTATGATTTTTTTAGCCTTAAATTTATTTTTTTATTATAGTTATATAATTATATTTATTATATAATATGTTTTACCTTAAATATTATGTTGTAATTGATTTGAATATTTTGTTTCATTTTATGGTTTTTAACTTATATATGTTATGACTTGCTTTGAATATGACTTGTGATATAAAAAACTGTTTTTGATTAAATATTTTTGGTATTTGTATTTAATTTTTTAAATAATTAATTAATTATGATGTCGTCCGGTTCTTTCGACCGGTCTGACCGGTTCGACCGGTTAAACCAGTGAACCGGTAGCACGGACGGTTCGCTGACCGATCCGATTCTGAAAACCATGGTGTAGCATGTCATTCTTTGAATGATTGTTTTGTTAATTGGGGATTTGGATTGTTCGATCTCAACTGTATGGTTTGCTATAAATTTCTGATTAGTTTTGGAACCCTGATCGATTCCTTTATGAATATAGAGTCCATCTGTTCTGTCCCTCTTTCATGGGTCTTTGACAATTCTATGAAATTTTGAGGTTTTTTGGCAAATATTCAAAGATCTGGTACATGATATTTGTGTCGATATATATAATATACCTAAGGCAGGATACGATGTGTATTATATAATATGGTATTTTCATATTGGGAGGGGATACGATGTTGTGTGTGATCACCACATGGATGAGCAGGGTTTGAGCTGTCCTCACTCTCCTATGGATGAGCTGCCACAAGGTATGATCAATTGGAATTGGTTTAATTGGATTGATTATCTAAACACTATGGAATTTGTTCTGGGATCTGGAATGTGGTTTGTTCTTGCCCTTTGTTGATATGCTAAACTCTATATGGATTCTTACCTTAATTTGTATAAATATGGTACGGGATTCTTTGGCCATCGAACCTATATCCGGGGTAGGTCGGTGCAAGGTATTATCAAAGGAATTTGGTATATATACGGGAGTATTTGAAATTTAAGGATTTTAAATGGATATTGGAATCATGGTTCCTTTCCTGCAATGGATGTATTCATATCTGGCTTTTAATTCAAAAATGTTGCATTGATCCTTTCTAACTTTATACTAATAGTTATACTTTCTTTAAGGGACACGCTGTATATCAACTTCCTTTAATGATAAGGACTATGCATGATAGTTATCTATGGAGGAGACTATTCGAACTTATTGTTGGTGCATGTCCATTGTACAAAGAATTGGTCAGGGATTTCACTACAACTCATGGACACAGGCTTTTAGGTATGAATCTTTATGGTATATTCATACTTCTTTTAAATGTCTTAAATGTGGCCTAATCTATCCGGATTTTTATCTATGCCTTCATAGTATAGATGAGAAATTCCTTGGCCATCAATGCTATTACTATGGACCGATGCAAGGTTTTGGTAAACGGTATTGGCATGGCTATGTTTATGCCTACAGGTGCAAATCCAATTTGTTTATTGATGCTTGGGGCAAATGATGACTCTACAGAAAATACGAAGTTCTAAAATATATCCTGACCTGATTGGTATGTATGCCTACATGGGTTTTCCAGGGGATCTAATTGGGGTGAGTTTTATGACTCTTTCCAGGTATATTTTCCAACACTTAACATATGCTTTTGTTTCGTTCTATAAGCCACCCATTATGGTAAGTTACGATGTTTGGTGTGTCAATTGTGTTCGGACCAGTCCAATTCAAAATTACACGTGCTCTTTAGAATCAACTATTTTTTATTAGGGACGATGCATGCACACCCGGTTACAGCACATGTGCTATTATGTGGTATTCATTAAATGGAGAATTGTAACTAACTATAATGTACGCGGAGTATCCACGGGAGTCAATCCTCTATCCAAACAGGGTTTAATTATCGGAAATGATTTAAAATTTATAACATTGTAAAACTGCGTACAAATCTGGACTGTAATATGGTTCCCAGGATAGTAGGATTATATTTGAAATTTAAATGAATTTGGCAATGGTTTGAATTAAATACGTGCGTACCTTTTGTGTAAGCTACAGTGTTGGCTGTTTAAAATATTTAATAAACTGATTAAAAAGTCGGCTGTTAACTCCTATCTATTTGGGATAGAGTCCATTGGGAAGTGGTTTCCGAATTCTAAGGATGTTAGGTTTCTCACAACTTTATATAGTGACCGACGGATAAGTCCACTGCTACTGCTGATTTGTTCATTCCTTTTGCTGGTTTTATTACTTTTACACCTTTATTTGAATCATCCAAAAATCGCATGGCAGAATCACTTCTTCAGAAACTTGTGGAGATTTCTTTCACGGTAAAAGAGGATGGAGCTCATTTCGAACTGGGGGATTATGTGGAGGAATAAGCAGTGGAATTACACCACTGTTTGATTAGGAAAATCATCAGCCAACGCCAGTTTGATGGCAGTGCAGTAACTAGTGTCTTTCGAAATGTATGGGGGACACAAGAAGTGAATGATATTGAGGAACTATGTGAGGGGACTCATTTAGTCAAGTTCGCCAATGAGCAGACTATGAAAGTGGCTATTAATAAGTCTCCATGGACCTTTGACAGGGACTATTTCTCTTTGGTCGACTATGAGCCGACTAAAGGAGTTGATGACTACACCTTTGACCTTATGAAGATACGGGTGAGGATCTATAACCTATCGTTAGGCATGATGAAAGAAGAGATGGGTTTCTCAGTAGGGAAGAAGATTGGTCGAGTTGTAGCACTGGATCTACGCCGCAAGGAAGGTAATTTCGTCGAATTTCTCTGGGTACAAGTAGAGATCAATATTGACAACCCTTTAATGCGGTGTATACGACTACTAGATCATAACGGAGGTAAACCTAGAGTTTTTCCATTGAAATATGAATGTTTACCAAATTTTTGTTTTAGATGTGGAATAATAGGCCTGTTACTGTGAAATGCACCAAAAAAATTGATGGCCCTAAAGACAAAATGAACTATGGGGATTGGTTGAAGGGGGTGACATAACAACCAAAAGTTTGACCCAGACCGACGCAATTTATTTATGTGGACTTCAATGGCTCGTAGGCTAAGGTTGGAGAATTTATGAAATTTGAAGATATCGTGGGTACCTCCTTTAAGGACCCTCAAATAAAACCGGATGGTAATGATGAAAAGGGCAGTCACGTTGAAGAATGTAGCACTAAAGTTACTGAAGAACAATTGAATGACATTTTGATTGGAGACGATCTAATGGATGAAATTTAGACGGATGTGATTGTTGATTCAAAGTTTGATGATGATGTACCGATTACAGAGAAACCTGATTCGAATGTGACCTCGGAACAAGGCGACTCCATAAAGGAACCAGAGCCAACTCTAACTGGGAAAAATGGTAATATTAGTACTGTGAAGGCCAAAGCGGACAATGGTGCTAAACCTGGCGGGTCGAAGAGTGATTCAGGTAGGAAAGATGATTCGGGAGGTAAAGCCTCTAAGAGACAACTGCAAGGGAAATATGAAATTATCAATTCAATTACTACAAAAAAAGAATTCGAGTGTCCTCTACTTCAGAAAATGTTGTTGGGGCGTCTGGAAAAGATGAAAAAGATATCGACGTAGGCTTTAGGACAGTCCTGTCGGACGCAATGAATCACCTATGTTGGAATTGTCGAGGGTTGAACAACTCTCGAGCGGTTCAAGAGTTACAATGCTTTATTAGTAATCACTCGATTCAAGTTGTCTTTTTAAGTGAAACAAGATTATGCCAGAATAGAAGTGATATCATTATGAATAGATTAGGAATGCACGGTTGTTTTACAGTTAATCGTGGTGTCGATTGTACTGGACTTGTGGAAAAAGAATATCAGTATTGATTTGATGTCTTACTCTGTTGGAAAATAAACAAGTAACGAGTAATTTTCCTATAACCAGATTAGTAAGAATGCGAAATAAAAGCGGAAAAATAATACTCGAAATTGATAATGGAGTTCAACCAATTTGTCTACGTCTCCGGATTGTTACAGATCTTTTACTAAGAGAGAAAATTTACAGGTGTTTACAAAACACTCGCTACTCACAAGAAAGCTCTCTAGTATTGGGAGAAAGAAAATGATTTGGGATGATTTTGAAGCTAAATGGGTTAGGGTATTTATAGTTAAAGCTTAAGGACTAATCTTATAAATACCTTAAAGTTCAGTGACTAATTATAATTACCCCATTACAATTTTTCAACAAACATCTACCAAACTTTGAAAAACCATTTTTCAAAGAAATATTTACCAAATTTTGAAAACCATTTTCAAAGTAGGTTGCCAAACTTTGGACTTTTAACGATCTCCCGCTTGAAGACTGATTTTAATCTGTCTTCACACCTCGATCGATGCAGCAGCATTTCTAGTCTTGTTATTCTAGCATGCCAACTGAAGCTGAACACAACTTCACTTTGTCCGTGGTCACCGTCTTTGTCAA